AAATCCATAGATACAGTATCTGTCATCCTGTTTAAGGCAGCAGACATCTCCTGCATGGTCATGACCTGCATGGTCCTATTTCAGAGCTGTGCTTGAAGTTCCATGAAGGCAGCCTTCCTGACCATGACTGACAGTCTCTCGAACCTCCTCCAACTCTAAGGCAATCCAAGCACCCTGCTCCTCCCATTCTGACCCTTTCCTATCTACCACCTACCTCACTCCAGCATTGGTACTCGTACGTTTGACTGTGGAATTTCCTCTGTAAACATTTAAGCCTTTATGTTATCCATTAAAGGGGTCAGTTGCTAGACAGCTGGTTTGCAATGCAGATTGGAGCTGACATCATGGGTTCAATTCCCACACTGGCTGAGGTTACCGTGAAAGACCGTCTTTCACCGAAGACCACCATCTGTTGTCTCTCCCTCTCTCTCTCTAATGAGAGAGCAGCTGTAATTCTGGTAATACTTTAGCAACTTTACCTTTACCTGGATGGAGAGGAGGAGTCAGCGCGTACGTGGAAATGGAGCTGTGAGAGAGCGAGAACAACAGTTAGGGAGACATGGATAATAGTATGCCAGGGAGAAGGAAAAGCTGATCATGTGGACCATGTGAAAATGGATTGGCTGTGCTGTAAACAGCCCATGTCATGACAGGGCCTGGGGGGTTGGAGCGGGTCAAGAACATGGAAGAAGTTGTTCAGGCTGTAAAATTATAGAAACCGAAAGAACTGCTGATGCTGTAAATCAGAAACCAAAGCAGAAATTACTGGAAAAGTTCAGCAGACCTGACAGCATCTGTGGAGAGAAATCAGAGTTAACATTTTGGGTCGAGAGACCCTTCCTCAGAATAGGGTTTGTGTGTATGTAAAATTATAGAATTTGATATTGAGTGCTGAAGGCTGATGGGTCGCCATGTGGAAAATGAGATGCTGTTCCTCCGGCTTGTGCTGAGCCTCCCTGAAGCATGGCAATAGGCCTGAAACAGAAAGGTTGACCACAGAACATGGTGTTGTGTTGAAGCAGTAGACACTTTCTTTCTGGCATTCTATCCTCCATCACTTTGTCTCCCTAAGTGCAGTTCTCTCTCTCTCTTGTCTCCATCTCTGCTTCTGTCCCTCTCATTCCTTATTCGCTAACCTCACCCCTATGTTTTCAGCCGTTTCCTCCCACAATCCAAAGATGTGCAGACTAGGTTGATTGGCCATGCTAAATTGCCTGTCGTGTTCAGGGATGTGTAGATTAGGTGGGTTATAGGGGGATGGGTCTGGGTGGGATGCTGTGAGGGTCGGTGTGGACTTGTTGGGCCGAAGGGCCTGTTTCCACACTTGTCGGGATTCTATATATAAAAAAAACTTTTTCTTAGCTACCATCAGTTCTGAAGAAGGCTCACTCGACTGGAAACATTAACTTCCTTTCTCTCCACAGATGTTGCCGGACTTTCTCCAGCAATTTCTGTTTTTGTTTCAGATATCCAACATCCTCGGTTCTTTGTTTTATCTCCGCAGAATGAATCTAGCTGAAGATGCATTGGAAGGGAAGGGGCGGGGCTGGAGGGCTGTGTGTGAGCGGTTGTTCCTCCAACCATCTCAGAGATAGTAAGAACTGCAGATGCTGGAGTCACAGTTAGCACAGTATGGAGCTGGAGGACCACAGCAGGGCAGGAAAGTTGACGTTTCGGGTCGGGGCCCTTTTTTTTCTGAATTTCTCAAGACGTCGACTTTCCTGCTCCTCTGATGCTGCCTGGCCTGCTGTATTCCTCCAGCTCCACACTGTGTTATCTCTGGTTCTCCAACCAATCTGTGGGAATGGGGGGCGGGGCCGGAGGACAGTGTGCGGCTGGGCCTCTACCCAATGAGAGTGAATGGGGGGGCGGGGCTGGAGGACCGTGTGTGAGCGGCTGGTCCTCCAGACATGGGCGGGTGGGATGAGGGCGGGGCGGGGCTGGAGGCGCCTGGCCTTCCACCCAATAGGAGTGAATGAGGGGCGGGGCCAGAGGGCAGTGAGTGCGCGGCTGGTCCTCCAACGGTTGGGTGTGCGTGAGGGGCGGGGCTCGACCGCTGGTTACCCAACCAATGGGAGGGACTGAAGGGCGGGGCCAAGTGGAAACACATGTGCCGTCACCCCGAGTGGCCCCTGCGCAGTCGTAGTGCCGATGTGATTGAAGTCTTGACGAGTGCTGGAGCTGCAGTGGGAAATGGTAAGGCGGGGGGCAGGGAAATGGAACCGGTGTGGACTGGGAGGTTTCGTAAACATCTCGTATAGGTCTCTGGATGCGATTTAGGAACTTTCGAGAATTATTTTCCCTTTCAAGCAGGGAACGGCTGCAGGCCTCAGGTGGTAACAGGCGTAGTTACCGCCGCCATCTTTATTGGGACAACATTGCGTTGGGTGCATGTGTGACCGCCATGTTTGTGGGGGCAAGGTGTAATGGGGGCAAATGCACCTCCTTCCTTTGCCAGGGGATGGGAGTATTTGCACAGAACAAACTCAAACGAAAAGAAATGTTGGTATCTTCTGAATGTCTGCCTGTCGTGGATCAGCAGTGAGGGATTGTTGTGTACACTTCTTTTCCGGGATATTAAATAGGAAGAATTGCACTGTAGGGATTCTATGAATTTGCAGCTCAGAATCTCAAAGGGAACATCAAATCAAGATCTGAAGGCGTCACTAGATTCTTCGGGGCCTGAATACCATTGGCCTTTGAATGTGGAAGGAAAAACGTTTTCTATTTGTGGGAAACAATTTTGAGCTCATGGAAATAGATAAGCCGAGACAGTAGAAGAATTGGAGAACAAGGATGTGAATTCAAATTGAGGTATTGCTGAGTAGGTCAGTGGGCAGAATTGTCCTGGTGAAAGAACATGATCCGAGTAAGGACACAGGCAGAGTTTTGGATGATCTCAAGATTATTTGGTGGGAAAGGATGAGAGTTTCAAAAACAGTTGAGTCAAAACAGAGGCAATTCGAAGATGTTGTTGCCATACATCTGCCCTATCATAGACCCTCTGGTTTTGTTCATCCATCAGTAGCTGGGCAGTGTTACTAGGCTGGATCCACTTTGTCACAGACACTTGGTTTTGCTTATTTCCCTGCCTCCCAGCCACATTGATTAAGTGGATGCACCTTATTTTATTATTACGGCTAGATTTTTAATCCAGAAATTCAGTTAATGTTCTGGGGACCCAGGTTTGAATCCCACTGCGGCAGATGGTGGAATTTGAATTAAAGAAAAGATCTGGAATCAGGAATCTAATCATGACCATGAAACCATTGTCAATTGTCAGTAAAAAAAACACTTGCTAACTAATGTCCTTCAGGGAAGGAAATCTGTCATTCTTACTTGGACTGGCCTACTTGTGACTCCAGACCCACAGCAATGTTGTTGACTCTCAAATGCCCTCTGAAATGACCGAGTGAGCCACTCAGTTGCACCAATCACTACAAAGAAATGAAATCATCTGGCACTGATCTAGGTTCTCCCTAATGGCATTGTAGGTCTACCTGCAGCACATGAACTGCAGTGGTTCAAAAAGACAGTTCACCACCACCTTATCATAGAATCACTACAGTGTGGAAACAGGCCATTCGGCCCAACAAGTCCACACCGCCCCTCTAAAGATTACCCCACCTAGACCCAATACTCCTGCATTTCCCTTGTCTAACCCAAATATCCCTGGGCACTATAGCATGGCCAATCCACCTAGCCTGCACATCTTTTGGACTGTGGGAGGAAACCCATGCAGACACAGGGAGAATGTGCAAACTCCACACAGACAGTCGCCCGAGGCCGGAATCGAGCCCGGGTCCCTGGCACTGTGAGGCAGCAGTGCTAACCACTGAGCCACCGTGCTGCCCAAATCAAAGACAGCTAGGGATGGGTATTAAATACTGGCCAGCCAGCAATAAACATATCCCATGCATGAATAAAAAGAAAATCACAGACCCTACAACCCCATTTTGCTTCCTCAAACTCTTCGATATTTCTTTTATTTTGATGAAGAAACATTTACTTTCTTTGCTTCCTCACCTGCTAAGGATTTCCAGCGATTTGTGTTCTTTTTACTGAGGTGGAAATATGCAGTCTTGGTAATGATGGGAATATCTGGTTTGAAGCTTGTCTTGGGTTGAAACCTAGGATGGGTGTTTGAAGACCATATTTTTAAGTTGAGAGGATAAAGATTTGAACAAGATATGAGTGGCAAGTTTTTACACAGCGTGTGGGTTCATATGTGGAATGAACTTCCAGAGGAAGTGTTGCACGTAGTTACAGTTACAATGTTTAAAAGACATTTAGATAAGTACATGAATAAGAATTGTTTGGAGGGGTATGGGTCAAGCACAGCCAGTTGGAACTAGTTTAGTTTCGGATTATGGTTGGCATGGACTGGTTGGATTAAAGGGTCTGTTCTGTGCTATATGACTCAATTTCACCCTGGTTGTGAACATTCTGGTTCAGTCTCAGACAATTACCAACAAGAATGATGGAGAAGGTGGGGAAGGAGTAGAAACTGTAGTACAGACTGAAGGCAATGGCTTCAGCCTTCCCAATATTTAAATGGAGAACACCTCTGTTCATCTATTACTGGGCGTCAGGCAGGTCAGGACATTGTGTGACTTGGAGGTGGTGGTGTTCATGCTGCTACCTGGTCCTTCTCGGTGGGAAAGTTGAAGATTTGGAAGATTCTGTTGAAATATTGGTTGAGTTATAAATATATACAATCCCTCTGCTTCACCACCCGTGTCTCCCACTTGTTTTTCTCTTTCCTTCTCTGTCCCTTATCCAATGAGACCAGGATTTTGTGTACACCCAGGTCGAGTAGCAGATTCCTTTTCGTCAGTTAACCAGTTGTGGTTTTAGGACAATCCAACAGTTTCATGGTGACAGTCCCACAGACAACCACATTCATCACTTCAATTTCACAACCTACCGTTGAATTTTCATATAATCTCCTTCACTCCTTTTTTTTTATTCTGTTTTTTTAAATTAATGTTGCAGGGTATTTAAACGAGTCATTTTGCATCTGGGAAACTGAGACCAAACATCACAGTGGATCTGATGGATTTACCCAACACATTGTAACCCGAATATCACCGGGTTTTGGACATGGAAGGAAAAAGTACCATTCTCAATGGGGAGAAACCGTACATGTGTTCTGTTTGTGGGCGAGGCTTCAGGCGATCATCTGACCTGTCAAGACACAAATGTGGTCAGACTGGGGTAAAATTGTGGAAGTGTGGGAACTGTGGGAAAGGATTCGATTACCCATCACAGCTGAAAAGGCATCAGCGCAGTCACAACGGGGAGAAGCCATGGAAATGTACAGACTGTGGGAAGGGATTCAATTACCCATCTGAGCTGGAAATTCATTGGCGCACTCACACTGGGGAGAAGCTGTTCACCTGCTCGCAATGTGGGAAACGATTGGCTCACTTACACAGTCTGCTGATACACCAGCGAGTTCACACGGGGGAGAGACCATTCAGCTGCTCTGAGTGTGGGAAGGGATTCACTACATCATCCCACCTGTTGACACACCAGCGAGTTCACACTGGAGAGACACCTTTTAAATGCCCCGATTGCGATAAATGTTATAAAAGCTCCGGAGAACTGATGTCCCATCAACGTGTTCACACGGATGAGAGACCGTTTAAGTGTTCTCACTGTGGGACAGGGTTCAAGCACTCGTCTCAACGCACTGTACACCAGCGAATTCACACTGGGGAGAGACCATTCAGCTGCTCTGAGTGTGGGAAGGGATTCACTCAATCATCTGACCTGCTGAAACACCAGCGGGTTCACACTGATGAGAAACCTTTTAACTGTCCGGACTGTGGGAAGTGTTTTAAAAGTCCTGGGGATCTGATGTCCCATCAACGTGTTCACACTGATGAAAGACCGTTCAAGTGCTCTCACTGTGGGACTGGGTTCAGACGATCATCTGACCTTATCGTACACCAGCGAGTTCACACTGGGGAGAGGCCATTTACTTGCTCCGAGTGTGGGAAAGGATTCGCTCAGTCATCCCACTTGCTGATACACCAGCGAGTTCACACTGACAAGAGACCTTTTGAGTGTCCCGAGTGCAGCAAGTGCTTTAAAAGTTCTGGGGAACTGATGACCCATCAACGTGTTCATACCGACAGCAGACCTTTTCAATGCCCAGACTGTGGGAAATGCTTTAAAAGTTCTGGGGAACTAATGTCCCATCAACGCATTCACACTGACGAGAGACCATTCAGGTGCTCTCACTGTGGAACTGGGTTCAAGCGATCATCTGACCTCAATGAACACCAGCGAATTCACGCTGGGGAAGCAACCAATCATCTGCTCTGAACAAAGTGATTCACTCAGTCATCCAACCTGCTGAGACACCAATCAGTTCACAAGTAACTACAGTGATTGGATTTTCCTATTAGTCACATTCAGGATTGAACTGTGTTAATGGGGTGTTTATGTTGATCTTAATAACCTCCACCGTACTTATGGTTGTGAACATTCTGGATAAAAGTCAAATAAATCAGCTTTCTGTTAACCAAAAAGTGTTTTGAGTCTTAATACCTCTAGCACAAGCTAGTTTTTTTTCCTCTGAGGAACAGTCCCCTGTTCCCTCATCCTCACCTCCAATGAACGTGTGAACAGCTCGTGGAGCTTCTCTGTCTCAATCTTTGTGACAATCTGATCACCTGTTTCCATCTGATCCCACTAGGCCAAACTGTCTCTGAAGATGCCCCTTGCCTAAGCCACAAACCCGCAATTGTCTTTAGTTTCTCTCCCTTCTCCCTTCTGAGCCAATTCTGTCTGAGAGACTCACCTCCTGCTTCATCAACCCTACCGTTACTTAAATTTTTGATTGCCCGACTTCTCCCTTATCTGCTGATATTGTGAACACTTGTCTCTCTTTAAGTATTGTCCTACTCTTCTTCAAACCTTCTCAATAAACAAACTGCTATAGGAAGGATGATTTGAAACTTGAAAGGATTCAGAAAAGATTTACAAGGATGTTGCCAGGGTTGGAGGGTTTGGGCTATTGGGAGAGGCTGTATAGGCTGGGGCTACGTTGGGGTGACCTTTATAGAGGTGTATAAAATGGTGAAGGGCATAGATAGATTGAATAGCCAAGCTCTATCTCCCAGGGTAGCAGAGTCCAAAACTGGAGGCCATAGGTTTAAGGTGAGAGGGGAAAGATTTAAAAGGGACCTAAGGGGCAACTTGTTCACACAGTGGGTGGTGTGTGTATGGAATGAGCTGCCAGAGGAAGTGGTAGAGGCTGGTACAATTACAACATTTAAAAGGCATCTGGATGGGTACATGGATAGGAAAGTGTAGGAGAAGGACTTCAGGTAGTCGCACAAATAAAGTGAGAGAGCACTTAGCCAAGTCTGTAGCTTTTATTCAAGCGGCAATTGATTACAGCAGGGAGAGAACAAGACACAATCTCACAGGACGGCCAGGCGTTCTCTAATCTAGTCAGACGATCCCTGATCTCTTGCACAGTCCATTGTTCATACTGTGGGAAAATACAGCCAATCAGGTACACTTCCCGTTTTTCAGAAGGAGAAGGTATCATATTACTATCCAGGCACTTGGGTCCCTTCTCCCATTTTTTCCCGTTTCCCTTTTGTTGAAAAATATATATATATAGATTCATACATATATCCCTTACTGACTATTTTGCTACATTCGTGCTATTTACTACATTCATGCTATTTCGGTTATGCAGTGTTTACACTATTTGTATTAACTTTTTCAATGCTAATACTTGCATTCGACATACTAGTATTACAGTAACAAAAACTTCAGCCATACAACTCCAGCCCAAAGTCCTGCAGCTTCTTATCATCACTCAGAGATTAGAACAAGGCCACACAGAGACATATGTTGTACAACTTTGCCTTTGCAACAGCTTCTGTCTGGTGTTGCAGCCCACAAATCGTGCAAGGCTGTTTAACACTGTTAAACACTGTATTTGGTTTTGCAATCCTCAGCAGAGAATAACAAGTTCTCCCCTCTCGAAGCCCTGACTATGTCCTAACCCGAAGCCCTGACTATGTCCTAACCCCAAGCCCTAAAAGTGCCTTGGCCCCCTTCAGAAGGGTTTAAAGGGATATGGGCGAAATGCTGGCAAATGGGACCAGATTCATCTAGGAAATCCGATTGGCGTGACCTTGCAAACTACTGCCCCACCTCCAACCTCCTTTTCCGCTCCAGCGTTGTGGGACATTTCATCAATTCCCAAATCCCAGTCCATCTTTCCCAGAACTCCACGTCTGAAATCGGGTTTCCAGCCCTGCCACAGTACTGAAACAGTTCGTGACAAGCTGCAAATGACATGCAGTTTGATTGAGGTAAACTACAACTACTCATCCGTCCGGCCCTGCCTGCAGCCTTGGACAGAGACAACCATATCGTTCTGCTCCAATGCCTCTCCACTATTGTCCAGCTGGGTGGGGCTGCTCTCTCCTGGTTCCATTCTTCTCTGTCTAATGAGAGCCAAAGATTCACTAACAATGTCTTCCCCTCACCCTTCCGCTGTTCCCTCTGGTGTCCTCAAAGGATACAGTCTTGGCCACCCCTTAATTCTAACTAACATGTCCCTATGACAGCATCATCTGAAAACAGTGTCTGTTGTCACATGGACTCTGACTGCTCCAACTCACCACCACCACATCTCCTTGACCCCTCTACTGCTGTCCACTGATCAGATTGCTTCTCTGATATCCAGCAGTGGATTATCTTCTGATTAAATATTTGTAGACTGAAGCCGTTGTTTTAATCCCCACACTCCCAACTCTATTCCTCCCTTTGGTAATTCACCTCTTGACTCTCCAAAGCCTGTCCAACGTCCTGAAGGCACAAGTCAGGAGTATAAAGGAATATTCCATATTTGCCTGAATGAGTGGATGGACGTTATGTTGAGGTTGTACAGGACATGGGTGAGGCCACTTCTGGAATACTGTGCCCACTTCTGGTCTCTGTGTTATAGGAAGGATATTATTAAACTGGAGAGGGTTCAGAAGAGTTTTGCCAAGACGTTGCTGGGAATGGAGGGTTTGAATTATAAAGAGAGGCTGGATAAGCTGGGACTTTTTTCACTGGAGCATAGGAGGTTGAGGGGTAATTGTTTTTGCAGAGTGTTTTGTGTGTGGAATGAACTTCCAGAGGAAGAAGAATGTTTAAAAGACATTTGGATAAGTACATGAATGAGAAATGTTTGGAGGGATATGGGCCAAATGCAGGCAGGTGGGACTAGTTTAGTTTGGGATTATAGTCAGCAATGGATTGGTTGGTCTGTTTCCATGCTCAATGACACTCTGCGTGCAGCTTGACACATTCAGGGCAAAGTAGCTTGCATGACTGGCACCACACTAATTCCATCACTCCACCACCAATGCTTAGCAGCAGCAGTGTACTACCTACACGATGCAATACAGAATTTCATTCACTGCTCCTTAGACAACGCCTTTCAAACCCAAGACCACTACTATCTAGAAGGACAAGGATGGCAGATACATGGGAATACCATCATTTGCAAGTTCCCCTCCAAGCCACTCACCATTCTGACTTAGAAAGATATTGCCATTCCTTCACTGTCACTGCATTAAAATCCTGGAATTCTCTCTCTAACAGTACTGTGGGTGTATCTACTGTCTGAAATAGAATGAGACTCTGCAGCATGATGTCATTCTGACCATCAGAGGAAATTCCAGTTCAGATTTCAGAGTCTTGCTGAGTTTCCAGTCACTGATGATTTAAATATTTCATAACAAAATAAATATTTCTCCACCCAATCCTGCCTGCTAATCTTCTCCTCTAATCCTCCATGTAAAGCGTTTACAAAAGACATCACTGTCAGAACAGAATAGAAATTCAGAACAATTCCAGTTTAGCTGAATTTCTTTTCTCCTTTCATTCTCCCACTCTGCTCATTGTCCCAGATTCAGTACCCGGTCTCCTGCTGATTAAGTTTATCTATCCAGATTCTATCTCTTCCTTTCCTTAAAGTGGTGAATCCAGCTGTGGGTCAATCCCACTCCTTCACATTAGCTCCATCAAACAAATGCAGTTCACAAAGTCAAGTCACCTTTAATCATTAGTGACTTTGAATTTCAATTCTCCTAAATCCAGTGGTTAGTTCAGAGCTTCCTTCTCCAAGGTTCTGTTCTAACAAGCTATCTCTGAGCTACATTTATATAGATTCACTCATTCATGATCTCATGAACAATAATACAAGCTGTCTCTATCTGAGTTATTTATACAGACTCACTCTCACTCAGTCGGTGATCACATCTCATGAACTACAACAGCAACTAATGAAGGCCCAAAAGTTTGCCAGAATCATTATGACATTGTACGTCAGATGACCAAACTCTTAAGCCAAAAAGATGGAGGATAAGCAGTATGTGAAAAGAGAAAATTGAAGTAGAAAGTTGGAGGGGGTTAGGGAGGAAATTCCAGGCAACTGAAGGCCCAACCACCAACGGTGGGGTAATTAAAATCAGAGATGAAACGCATTCGGTAATCATGTTCCATGTATGTGGACCTGATAATACACACTCGAGGCCCAACTGTAAACTCTGGGTCATAATTAATTGGAATCAGAGAGAAACAATTTCCGAGTAAATATTTTGTAAGATCTTTGTTTATTAATACTATAAATGTGAGGTCCAGTTGAGTCCTCCTGTGTAATCATGAGGAATAATTGTAACAACATTAAAATCGCTCAGGTTTTAGTGTTCCAATCAGAGTATGTTTTGAGATTTCAAAAGAAAAGAAATCAGAGATTCTGACTCTGCATGGCGTTTTCTCGAGAGGGTCTCTTTTATTCTGGTTATCATCCAATGCCTCCCTCCCTGTTCCCATGCAAAGTTCATATTAGCAATGCTCACTTCAATCATGTGACATTCTGTCAGTTAGCTCAGTTGGCTGGACAGCTGGTTTAGCATGCAGAGGGATGCCAACAGCATGGGTTCATTTCCCATCCTGGCTGAGGATACCATGAAGGACCCTCAGGTTAATCCACCACCAGTCATCTCTCTCTCTAATAGAGAGAGCAGTCCTATGGTTTGATTACCTTTACCTCTGTCAAGTCCCACCTGCCCCAGAGGTGTGCTGCAACATGTCCAAATAAGTTGATTAAATTATAAATAATAATCATACAGCATGAAACCAGAGAAAAAGTGAGCAAGTCTCAGGAAGTGAGAATGGACAAGAGCTGTTAGCAGTTCCAATCCATACATATTGTGTGTCAACATCTTTTTAAAAAGACTTAATAGTTTGCCAAACCCCCATGTGCACAATTCTTGGTGAGTTACATTTTCTAGCATAGAGTGTTCCTGTCACTTCAACCTGGTGCATCCTGTAAGGTTTTGGGTTGCTCAGATGTTTTTAATTTCTTTGTCTGGGTTTCAGAGTCCCTGAAAAGCCTATTTCAACTGTACCTGTGTGGGGCACAAACTGAGCTCGTGAGGCAGAGGGCAGTGCGCGAGGAGATGAAGGCAGTGTGTATTGTCTACTGCCTCAGGGATTGGTCGGGGAGAGGTGTTTACAGGGTGAGAAATGGGAGTGCTTTGAGTGGAGTTCCCATTTCTATGTCTCCTTTCTTCATCATCCCTCTCCTGGAGCAGCGTTACACCATTGCTCCCAGCTCACTGCACATCAGCTTGATAGAGATCAGTGGCGTGCTGTAAATCCATGGAGACAGTAAATGTCATCTGCTGTTTAAGGCAGCAGACATGTCCCGCATGGCCATGGTAACAACCTGCATGCACCTGTTCCATATAGCTTTGAAGTTCTGTGGAAGAAGTCACGTCCTTAATGACAGCATTTGGGATCTTGCCCAGCCTTATGGCCTTCCAGTCCCTCTCTAATTCTGAGCCTTTACTGTTCCTCACTCAAATCCTTCCACAATGGTGACCGTGCTTCCAAGGTCCCAAGCTCTGGAATTCCCTTCCTTTCCCTATATCTCTTCTCCTTCTAAGATAATTCTTAAACTCGACCTTCATAAACAAGCTTTTGACCATCCATGAAAATCCCATGTAGACTTTACTTTGTGAAATATTATGATAAACGCAAGTTGATTTTGTTCTGGCCTTACATTGAGAGAATCAAGAATCTCACAACAGTCATTTTCAGAGTTGGAACTTATACCTGCCATTTTACTTTCACTTAAGGAACAGCTCCAGTGTGAACCCAATCTCTCATTTTTTATAGCTTGTTTCCTGCATTCCCTATTTCTCTTCCAATCTCTAAACCCAGTTGTAAAGGAGCTTCTGTTCCATATCTGGGAGCTCTGAGCCATGGAAGAGAGCAGCCGAGACACTACTTCTTACCCACCTCAGGATTATTCACAGGTTCAGTACTGATGTGATTCATAAAAGCAATAAACAGCAAAGTCTAACTCCTACAGTCACTTGTGAACTCGCTGGTGCCTCAGTAGTTTGGATGACTGATAGAATCTTTCCCACATTTGGAGCAGGTAAACGGTGTCTCCACTCTGTGAATTCGCTGGTGTGCAGTGAGGTGAGATGAGCGCTTGAACCCAGTCCCGCAGTGAGAGCACCTGAACGGTCTTTCATCAGTGTGAACAAGTTGATGGGACATCAGTTCCCCAGAACTTTTATAACACTTCCCACAGTCTGGGCATTGGAAAGGTCTCTCCCCAGTGTGAACTCTTTTGTGCATCAGCAGGGAAGATGACTGAGTGAATCCTTTCCCACACTTGGGACAAGTGAACATTTTCTCCCTTGTGTGAGTTCTCTGGTGTCTCCGTAAGCTATAGAACTGGGTGAATCTCTTATCACACCCGGGGCAGGTGAATGGTTTCTCCTTTGTGCGAGTGCTCTGGTGTTTCTGTAAGCTGGATAAATGACTGAAACTCTCCTCACACTCAGAGCAGGTGAATGGTTTCTTCCCAGTGTGAGTTCTCTGGTGTGCATGTAATATGGATAAATAAGTAAATCCCTTCTCACACTCAGGACAAGTGAATGGTTTCTCCCCAGTGTGAGTTCTCTGGTCTGTAAGCAAGGTGGATAGCTGAGCAAAATTCTTCCCACATTGGTGGCAGGCAAATGGTTTCTCCCCAGTGTGAGTTCTCTGGTGTGCATGTAATGTGGATAAATAAGCAAATCCCTTCTCACACTCAGGACAGGTGAATGGTTTCTCCCCAGTGTGAGTTCTCTGGTGTGTACGCAAGGTGGATACCTGAGCAAAATTCTTTCCGCACTGGTGGCAGGCAAATGGTTTCTCCCCAGTGTGAGTTCTCTGGTGTTTTTGCAAGGTGGATAAATGAGAAAATCCCTTCCTACAGTCACTGCAGGTGAATGGCCTTTCCCCAGTGTGTCTACGCCGGTGACTTTCCAGCATAGACGGGAATCTGAATCCTTTCCCACAGTCCTTGCATTTGCACGATTTTTCCATGGGTGGAATGTGTCATTGCAGGTTGGATGATCCATTGAAGCTTCATGCAAAGGTTTCTCCCTGCTGTATTTTCAGATTGTGGAACTGGAACGAAGCTCTTCCTGCAGTCAATTCATTGGGCCACTCTAGCTCGCATGTCTCGGTACTTTTCCAGTCACACTGACGTTTGGAATCTTTTCCCCTCAGATAGCATGCAAATAATCAAAGGTGAATGATAGTCAGGTCCCAATGAATTGAGAGATTCAGTCAGATCTGGGTGCAGTGTTTGGTCAATTTTTTTCCATGTGTGGCCCTCCTTTTAATTCCCTGTGAAAGCAAGTTTACAAGATTGAGAACAGAGAATCCTGCTTTGCACTATACAATTTGTCCTCTGTTAGCTCCCCAACGCAGCAAATCCCTGTCCGATACCCTCTCCTTCCCTCTTACACAGGTTGGCTCCATTTCTGCAGACTCTGTCCGCCTAACTGTCAACTCAAGCAATAGGTCAATCATTTCCGCTTCCGGTCACATGCACCCTGGGCATAGGACTTCAATGCGCACGCGCAAACTCCAACCTAAGGAACATGGCTGCTCAACACGTCTCCCCCTCATGTTACCGGGAAGAGCCCCGGAGTTGTAGGACAAGGCTCCTGGAGATATTAATTCAGAACTAGCGGTATTACTGCAGCATCCCCCCCTCTTTCCCGATCGTCCGTTGCCTCTCACCGGGAGCACTGCGGCTGTATCTTCCCCCACCGCCGTCTCAGACGACACCCGTGCGATAGTGCTATACTGCGCATGTGTCCAGCTCTCCTGTTGTGGATAGTGGACTTTCACCGCCGCAGGGCCTGCTGGGTACAAGCGGCACCATTGGATTACACCTTTAGCTTCTAATTCTATTACCGTTGTAAGTACTGTAAAAAAGGAAAAGGAATAGGAATTGGCCGTTCAGCCCATCGATTCATTTCATCATTCAATCGGATCATGGCTGATCCAACATTCCTCACGTCCACTTTCCTACCATTTACAGGGGAGGCGATGGCCTAGTGGTATTATCGCTGGACTGTTAATCCAGAGACCCAGATAATGTTCTGGGGACGTGGTTCGAATCCCACCATGGAAGAAGGTGGAATTTGAATTCAATTAAAAAAAAATCTGGAATTAAGCATCGAATGATAATCATGAACGCACTGTTGATTGTTGTAAGAACCCATCTGGTTCACTAATGTCCTTTAGGGAAGGAAACTACTACCCTTACCTGGTCTGGCCTACATGTGACTCCAGTCACTGAACTGCCCTCTGGGCAATTAGGGATGGGCAATAAATGCTGTCTAGCCAGCGCCGCCCTCATCCTGTTAATAAATAAAAAAAATTCCCCTAGATTTTCCCTACTGATCAAGAATCTATTTCAGCCTTAAACATAGCTTTCTGTGGCAAGGAACTCCAATCCTCTGAGAGAAGAAATTCCTTATCTCAGTCTTAAAATGGCATCCCTTTCTTCTGAGACTACACCCTCCAAGGAAGTGAATTGGAAGCATTAACTCCGATTCTCTCTCCATGGATGCTGCCAGACTTGCTGAATTTCTCCAGCACTTTGTTTTATTTTAGGTCCTGATCATCTGCAATATTTCTCTTTTGTTACAATTTATAATTTCAGATGGGGAAGTTGATATAATCGCCTCAGTTCTGCTACAGCTTCCACACAGTGCATGCTCCTGCTCCCTGAGGGCCTCTGTGAATAACGGCAGCTCCAGATGAATACGAAGAGAAGGATGGAGCAGGAGCAGCTTGTACTCTGATCAACAGGAGTCCAGGGCTGAGCCCAGATCTTTCTCATTGGCTGAAGCTGTGCATCATTGGTAACACCATTTTCAGTTAAATCTGAGGAGAAACCTGGATCTTTCTATTTGTGGCTTTAAACACAGAAAACCCTACAGGGCTGGTGCAAGCATCTCAACATTTGTTACTGGAATGTGGGGACACATTGAAACAATGCACAAAAAAATTCAAACGCTGACTTAAAGCAATAATTGAGCAGAAAGGAAATGTCACTGGTTTCAATAAATGTACAGGCAGAAAGGTTAGAATGGGTTTGGGAAGGTTGATGATGTTAAAGTGCAAAATAAAAATCCACAGACCATGAATGAGAACTAATCTCATAATCTCCTGTGGTACATGTGCAGAGGGTTTCCTGAATCAAATTTAAAGAATTAATGTGAAGTATTTTCCTCATATAAGACCATAAGAAAAGTCAATAATAAATAGGAACATGAGAAGGCCATTTGGCTCCTCAAGCCTGCCCCAACATTCCTCATATTCACTGTCTGAGTTTTCCCTATAACCCTTGATTCCCCTACTGATCAAGAATCTATCCATCTGAGTGTTAAATATTTACAAGGCATTTGCCTGCACAACTTTCTGTGACAAGGAGTTCCAAAGACTCTCAACCATCTGAAAGAAGAAACTCCATCTCATTTCAGTCTTAAATTGGCAGTCTTTATTTCATGATTATGCCCTCAGGTCTTGTACTCTCCCATGAGGGGAAACATCCTCTCAGCATTCGCCCTGTCAAGCCCCTTAAGAATCCTGTATGTTTTAATGAGATCACCTCTCATTCTTCTAAATTCCAGCAAGTAGAGTCCCAACCTGTTTAGCTTTTGCTCACAAGACAATCTTTCCATACTCAGGAATGATCGCGGTGAACCTTCTCTGAACTACCTCCATGAAATGATATCTTTCCTTAAATAAGGGGATCAAAATTGCCCACAGTACTCCAGATATGGTCTCACCAGTACCTTGTACAGCAGCAGTAAGATGTCCGTACCATTATACTCCAACACCATTGAAATAAGGGCCAATATTCGATTAGGTTTGCTGATTACTTGCTGCACCCATGCGCTAGCTTTGCATTTTGTGTACAAGTATCCACAATTCCCTTTGTGTCACAGATTTGGGCAGTTTTTCTCCATCTAAATGATGCTCACTGGTCAATTATATTCAAAAACTCAGTGATCAAAACTTTGATTTTAAGATTTGTGTCAGGAGTCACAAAAGCATTTAATAATTTACAATTGATAATACTTTGTAGTACAGTTCATTAAATCTTTAAATTGATAGTAGGCTGCTCAAAGACACAATGAAATGATTAATTGTTGCATTTATTCCAAACTCAGGGTACAGTTAATAATGAGAAAGACAATTAAATCCTGGTATCAGTGAAACTTGAAAAGACTTGTGGTGCAGTGTTTGTGGCCAGAAAAAAACACTTTCCCCTGAGAGGTGTCATAACACGTTAAAACAGATTCATTAAAATAACTACTCCTTTAAGGCATCCTTAAAAACTATCCACAAAACAGGCAATTTGTGGAAACACACCGTAGGTCCATTAATAGCCCATGTTCTCCCCAGTTTTAGCATAGCAATGAGAATATGTTTTGGGATTTTGAAAGAGAAGAAATCATAGTTTCTGGTTTCTCTCTGGGGCACAGCACTTTCTTCAGAGATTCTTTTATGAGCCCCTCCCTGTGCCCAGACACAGTTCATGTGAGAAATGTTCAGTTCAATTAATCACGTGATGTCCTGTGTATTTTATACTTGTCCTGTTTTCCTCTTATCACAAGGCTGTTGCTGGTATCGGTGTATGAGCTTTCACAAACAGTTTCATTTTAAAAAATCTTACAGCTGCAGTAGACTTGAGAAAACCGGACAACATAAGAACTTGCAGCATGAGTAGACAGTTTGCTGCCTCAAGCCGGCTCCTCCATTTAATATGATTCTGGCTGATCTCACCTTGGATTCAACTCCACTTTCCTGCCTGCTCTCCATAATCTTTCAACCCATTACTAATTAAAAACCTGTCTATCACCTCCTTGAATTTATTCAATGTCCAGCATCCACTGCACTCTGGGGGAGTGAATTCCACAGATTCTAGACCCATTGAGAGAAGTAATTTCACCTCATCTCTGTTTTAAATCTGCTACCCCCTACCTTAAAACTATGAGCTCTCATTCTAGATAGTCAGACAGAGGAAACATCCTGTCTATGTCGACTTTGTCAATCCGCTTGAGCATCTTATATATGTCAAATTGATCTCCTCTCATTATTCTAAGCCACGAGAGTACAGGCTTAAACTACTTGTTCTCACTTCACAAGACAAACCCCTCCTGTCTGGAATCAATTTAGTGAATCAGTCGACCTCCTCTGAACTGCCTCCAATTCAACTACATCCCTTCTCAGGTAATGGGATCAAAATTGTACCTGAAGCAACTCCTGGAGTTAAACTTCCAGACACTTGATCTTGGCACCTTCTTACTATATTACATCCTATTTCCTATATTTTCCCACGGCAACATACAACAAAATTGAGTTTCTCATGAAATTTGATGTCAGCAATGAATCATCAAATTAAATGTGGATACAACAATCATACGGGACTGGGGTTTAAGGAGAGAAAGACAGAGAATCTAGAATTTGTTGGAAGGGAGGGATACAGCAGAGGCAGCTGATTAGACAGTTTCAGTCTCAGTGACAAAGAAGCTCCATGAGCTCCTCAGGTAAGGAAGGAGAAGACAGGGGAGAGGGAATGCCCTTCTAAAGTAACTAACTTGTTTTAAAGATATTAAAATGACTCTGCATGGTGTGTTTAACAAAAAATTGATGGATTTGACTTTTATCCAGAATATTAACACCTATAACAGTGTTTGAAATGATTGACATCAACAGAAACAGACCCCAATGAACAAGGTTCAGTCCTGGATGTAATTAACAGCAAAATCCAATCACTGTAATTACTTGTGAATTCGCTTGTGTCTCAGTAGGTGGGACGATTGAGTGAATCCCTTCCCACACTCAGAGCAAGTGAATGGTCTCTCCCCAGTGTGAACTCGCTGGTGTACAGAGAGTTGAGATGATTGTCTAAATGCAAATCCACAGTGGGAGCACTTGAAAGGTCTCTCGTCTGTGTGAACACGTTGGTGGGACATCAGTTCCCGAGAACTTTTGTAGCACTTTTTGCATTCCTGGCATCTGAATGCTCTCTCGTCACTGTGAACTTGTCGGTGTGTTAGTAGGTGGGATGACCGAGTGAATCCCTTCCCACACTCAGTACAAGTGAATGGTCTTTCCCCAGTGTGAGTGCGCTGGTGGACACTAAATTCAGATGAACGCTTGAACCTAGTCCCACAGTGAGAGCACCTGAATGGTCTCTCCTCAGTGTGAACAAGTTGATGGGACATCAGGTCCCCTGGACTTTTGTAGCACTTTCCACAGTCAGGACATTTAAAAGGTCTCTCATCAGTGTGAACTCGCTGGTGATTCAGTAGGTTAGACGAATTGTTGAAACCTTTCCCACACTCACAGCAGGTGAATGGTCTCTCCCCAGTGTGAATGCGCCGATGCCTTTCCAATTCAGATGGGGATCGGAATCCCTTTCCACAGTCTCCACATTCCCACCGTTTCTCCCCGGTGTGACACCGTCTGTGTCTCGATAGGTCACAAGATCGGCTGAAACGTCGCTCGCACACAGGACACGTATATGGTTTCTCCAAACTGTGAATGGTGCTTTTTCTTTCCATGTTCAGAGTCCGAATGATATTGGATCCCGACATCATGATGGTTTCGTTTCCCCGACTGAAAATCTTCCCTTTCAAACAACCTATTTAATACAGTTGATTCAGAAAAAAAACGGGAGTGAGAAAGCCCACAAAAACACAAAGGCACTTGGTGAAATTGACCTGAGTGGAGATGGTGATTTGAGGGGCTTGTACTGGGAAAAAGTGACTACAAAAACTGTTGGTCATCATAAAAACCCAACTGGTTTCCGAATGTTCATCTAAGTACTGGGAAAACTGAAGCCATGGCTTTGATTCCTTGCTCTTACCTCCACTCCATCACCACCAACTCAATCCCAATCTCTGCCAACTGTCCAAACTGTTCACAATCAAGGTGAAATATATCACCCCAAGATGAGCTTCCAACCACACATTCCTGTCATCACCAAGACCACTTATTTTCACCTCAATAACATCACCCAACTCCACCCTAGTCTCAGCTCACCTGCTGCTGAAACTCTCATCCATTCATTTGTTACCTCTAGATTTAACTATCTCAATACACTCCTGGCCACCCTCCCACATTCAAATTCTCTTGGAATCTTGAAGTCATCTAAAACTTTGTTACCTGTGTGCTTACTTCCACCAAGTGTTGTTCATTCATGTCTGCTCACTGGCCTACAAATCCTCTTGGCTAAGAAGTTCCAAAAATTAGACATCCTCATTCTGATATCCAAATCCCTTGATGGCCTCTCCTTACTTCCATATTGTCGTCAGGCATCACAACTCTCCAAGATAGATCTGGCGTTCTGGGTAGTCCTGATTTTAATTGCTCCACATTTGCTGCTCTTCTCTCAGTTTCGTAAACCTGAGGTTCTGGAATATCTTCCGGAACCTCTCCACCTCATGTTCTCCTCTGAGGTAATCCTTACAATTGACCTCTTTCAATAACCGTTAAGTCTCCTTCCCAAATATCTCCTTACGTGTATGATTCTGAAATGTTGTTTTATTACATTTCCACAAAATGCCTTATTTTTTAAAAGAATGCAGGTTGCAAATACAAAAATATATATGCTGCTCCATCATTGATGGGTGGATAACCTGTAACTCCTTACCTTGCTGTGGGAGCACCTTCATCATATGGACTGCAGCGGTTCAAGAAGGCCAAACATTATCTTCATCACAAGCAACTGGGGATTGGCAATATTGGCTCATATCTGTGGAGAGGGAAACAGTGTTGATGTTTCAAGATGTGCAAAATGAATTATCAGAATTAAAATAGTGCAAAATTTGATGGTTAATATAAGGTTAGAAGTGGAAGAGAATTAGATTACAGGGTAGGATAAACAATTTTTTACTGTGAAAGATTCCGTGGGAAGATAAAGCTGGTAAGTCAATCGCATGTAGTCAGGGATGGTCAGCAGTGGAACCTCTTTTAGACATGGTTTGGCAAAGTAAAAGCTAAATACCATACCTGGCTAAAACCATTATTATTGACACAGGAAGTTAGACAATGGCAGAGAGGTAATCAAAGAGGGCAGAGGTGAAACAGAACAACGGATGGACATGGATTCTGATCCATAATAAAACAACCACAACAATCTCAGAGCAGTGAACCTCTTAGAGGTAACAGAAAAGCTCAAAATTGCAAGACATGCTAAAATCACAAGAATAACATATCCTTATGAGATAAATTAAAAACATCTATGTAGAAACTCTTCTGGTAACAAAACCCTGTTACATTCTAAGAGCAACGTATGCTTACCAACCTGATTCCCCGTCTCAGAATTGATCTCATTTGACAATTTCACTTTGGAAACTGCTGGCTCTGACTGGATTGCAAAGTCCTCAAAAATCCAGCAACTTCACCCCTCTACTACAAAAGAGCTCTTATTTGCTCCATCTGTGTTGAATACCTTGGTTCTAAGACCAACACCTATCATAAGCTAATAGCAAAAATACTGCAGCTGGTAGAAATCTGAAATTATACAACCAAATACTGGAAGGATTCAGCAGTTCAGGGAGCTTCTGTGGAAAGAGCAAAGGAGTTCACATTTTAGGCTGTGAAGAATGAATTACAGGGAACAAAAATTGTGCAGAATTTGATGGTCAGTATAAGCTCAGAAGCAGAAGCAAATTGGACAATAATCCACAAACAACAAGTCCTGACTGTGAAAGACAATGTGGGAAAATAAAGCTGGTAAATCTGTCACACATAATCAGGGGATAGGCAATGGTAGGAACTTAATTTTTACATATTCAGCAGAAGGAACAGCAGAATACTAAACATGGCCAAAAATACACTGATTATTAGAGCCAGAGGAAGTTAGACATTGACAGAGGTGATTGGTGAGACAGAGCAATGGATTGACATGGACTCAGATCCACAGTAAAAGAGCTACACCAGTCCCAGAGACTCAAACTCTCTGACATAACAAAACACAGCACAAAAAGATGGAAATTGTCATTGAAACTCAAAAACAATTTGATTGTTTTCCATTTCAAAAACTCCTGCAAAAGCCAGCATGTCAAAAGATATCAGGAGCACTGGAGTCAGAGAAAATTATCATTTGAGGGGGTGGGGGCAACAGTGGGTGATATCACCATGCAATTGTCACGGCGGGATGACATCCCACAAAGGAACACACAGCATCTGGGTCTATACAAACCAGAGATCAACACACATTGTGAAGGATGTGAGCGTGCCTGAGAGTGATAGGGCAGAGGAGATCTACCAGAATGGTTTGAGGAATAAGGAATTTTAGTTGCAAAATGTGGTTAGAGAGATTGTGGTTTACGGGAGATTTCAGTGAGGTGTCCAGTTTATGTTGGGTTTAGAAAACCTCTATCGGGAAATGATCTTCTCATCAGGCCATCATAAAAGAATCACAGGGAACAAACAGACTTAAGATTTCAGAAAAAAACCCGTAGGTAGGATTTGAGGCAAAAATATTATGTAGTAAGCAGTAATGACCTGGATCTCAATGCTTACATTCAGATGCCAATAACATTTCACATACTGATGAATCGAAGGGCACTGTCAAATTTTAATGAGATGTCTGGTTTCAGTTTCTTGACTGTAAATCTTCTTCTAATATCTGTAAAAGACGTTTAGAAAACATATCAACGTCAGCCCAGGAAGACTGCACATTGTCCCTCATCGTGGTCACCATCCCCCACTTCGAGGATGACATGAGCTCAGGGTCGTGAGCTGATGCATTGGATCCTTCATGAGGCTAAACAGAGATGCAGATCTTTGGACACTTGTGCCAGGTGTCCGAGAGGTAGTGGGTTACAGAGAGCAGGATTTGTTTTCTTTCCTTCTGTGCCACTGCTCTGCCTCATCAATAAGACACTGGTTGTGAAAGGCTAAGGGCTTTGTCTGCATTCTAAACAAACTCCTCTCAGTCATACCAAACATTGCCCCTCACCCTACAAAGATGGCGGACACCCGTGGCTCAATGACCCTAATAAAGATGGCGGCCGTCCCCGGGCGTCTGTGACTGGCAGGAAGCCGGGGCCGATCGTCCATTTTGTTGCCAACGGGGACCGGGAGGATCTCATTTGGCCTTTGACGCTGAATACAAAGTCTGTGCAAAGCCTCTTCACGCATCCACTGCTCGGTTCATTGCTCCCTCCGATCCGCCTGATTCTCACCGTTTGAGGATCTGAGACACAACGGACGGAACACCGATGGCCTGGAGGAAGATGGTGACTACGCATGCGCTTTACGAAACGGGTCTTCAGGTCACACTGCGCATACTCCAATTCACAATAGGGCCCGCTTGATTGACGGCAGCTCCGAACCAATACGTAAGAGGGGGGGCGGGCCTGGAAGACCGAGCTGGTGAGGTTGGTCCTCCAAGGAATGAATTAGAATTAGCTTTTATTGTCACATGGGCGTGAACGAAGTATTTGGCTGATCCCAAAGCTCGCTCATCGCTGGAGAGTCTGCCTCAAAGAGAACGTGATTCGAGACAAACTCCCGCAGGAAACTGGGCCATTGGGTTTGTGGATCTAGGCAGGAGATGTGTGGCTACAGCAAGCATATCAACGTTTGTTACTGAAATGGATTAACTCAGGAACGACAGCAGCAATTATCTGAGGGAATCACAAACTATAGTGAGAAAGGACATCCAGTGCCTGGTTTTGGAAGCTGGGGTAAGTTGAGTAATCAGCAGAACTGCTCAGAGGCCACAAAGTGAGATGGGGAGAAAACAGAGAAAAATATGACAGGCAGTCTCACAAATGGAGCAAACTTTAAAGAGACAGTTTTTCCCCAGTGGGCGAGCAGAAGAGAGGGAAGAAAGTGATCGGATTGCTTAGTGACAAAGCAGCTATATGACATCATTACACTTGTTGAAAATTTGGATGGAGGAGGCAAGGAGAAGGGAAAACTCTTCACTAGGGATCCAACGTTAATCAAAGATATTAAAAAAGACAACATAGTGTGAATTTAAAACTAAGTTACTTTATTCAACCTTTATCCATGATATTAACCCCTTTAAATGCACTGGGGTTTACTAACATCAATGGAAATGTACCCAAGTGAACGTGACACAGGCCTGGATGTGATTAACAGCAAAATCCAATGACTACAGTTCACTTATGACTTTTCTGATGTTTCAGCAGGGCAGATGATCGAGTGAATCCCTTCCCACAATCTGAGCAGGTGAATGGCCTCTCCCCAGTGTGAACCCGCTGGTGTCTCAACAGACTGCATAACTGAGTGAATGTCATACCACACTCTGAGCATGTGTAAGGCCTTTCCCCAGTGTGAACCCGCCGGTGAATCACCAGAGTAGATGACCGACTGAATCCCTTCCCACACTCAGTGCAGATGAACGGCTTCTCACCAGTGTGAGTACTCCGATGTTTCACCAGGCTGGCTAACTCAGTGAATCCCCTCCCGCACTCAGAACACATGAATGGTCTCTCCCCAGTGTGAATACGCTGGTGTATCACCAGGGTGGATGAGGAAGTGAAATCCTTCCCGCAGTCTGAGCAGGTGAATGGCCTCTCCCCAGTGTGAACTCGCTGATGTACTGTGAGGTCAGATGATCGTTTGAACCCAGTGCCACAATGAGAACACCTGAATGGTCTCTCGTCAGTGTGAACAAGCTGGTGGGACATCAGTTCCCCAGAACTTTTGTAGCACTTTCCACAATCTGGGCACTGAAATGGTCTCTCATCAGTATGAAGCCGCTGGTGTATCAACAGCTTGGATGACTGAGCGAATCCCTTCCCACACAATGAGCAGACGAACGGCCTCTCCCCAGTGTGAAGTCTTTGGTGTGCGAGCAGGGTGGATGACTGAGCGAATCTCTTCCCACAATCAGAGCAGGTGAACGGTCTTTCCCCGGTGTGAACCCGCTGGTGTCTCAGCAGGTGGGACGACTGGGCAAATCCCTTCCCACACTGGGAGCAGGTGAATGGTTTCTGGCCAGTGTGAACTCGCTGGTGTCTCAGTAGATGAGACGTTCGCGTGAATCCCTTCCCACACTCTGAGCAGCTGAATGGCCTCTCCCCAGTGTGAACTAACTCGTGTGCAGTGAGGTCAGATGACGACTTGAAGCCAGCCCCACAATGAGAACACCCAAACGGTCTCTCATCAGCGTGAACACTTTGGTGGAAAATCAGGTCCCAAGAACTTGCGAAGCATTTGCTACAGTCTGGACATTTAAATGGTCCCTCGTCAGTGTGAGCACATTGATGTGTCTGCAAGGTGGAAGAGGAAGTGAATCCCTTTCCACACTTGGAACAGATTAGCAGTCCCTCCCCAACATGACTACGTCGATGTCTTTCCAGCTCAGACTGGGATCTAAATCCAATCTCACAATCCCTACATTGTTTCTCCCTACTGTAACTGCATTTATGTTCAAACAGGTCAGATGATCGGCTGAAGCCTTGATCACATACAGAACACATGAACAGTTTCTCCTCACTGTCAACAGTACTTTTGCCCTCCATGTTCAGTATCCATTGAGGTCCAGGTTACGGTAAATTGGGCAACTTCAGCAGATCCTGACGTGACGCTTGCTTTTAGCTTCCCGATTGCTAATTCTATCCTTCTAATGCCCTGTGAAATTGATTTAGAACAGAAGAAAAACAGGGAGCATGAGACAATCTAGAAAAACAAAGGCAAGTTGTGAAACTGAAGCTGAACGAAAATGGTAACTTGCAAGGTCAGCACTGGGAAACAGTGATCACAAAAGCTCCCGGATTGTCACAAAAGGCCAACCAGTTCACTAACTGTCTTCCGGGGAAGGGAATCAGTCGCTTGGAGAGCACTGACAAAAGATGACTGGGAAGTGAGCAAGTGTGAGAGGCAGATTTTATATTATCTACTATCCAACTACAAGATTGATTGATTCTCCCAAGCCCTCAACCTCCAGTACCTCAAAAGGACTAGGTATATGTAAATTCCATCACCTCCCAGTCAAAGTCCATCCTGACTCGTCTAAAATCCAAAAATGGATGAGCAGAATTCCATCAATTTAAATTTGAGAAGACCGTAGCCAATGCCTTCAGTCCCGCTATGAACTCCACTCCATCACCACTGACACTCTCTCTCTCTCACCCCCACCAGCAACTGTCTGATGTTGAACTAGACTGTTCACAACCATGTTGAAATATTTCACCCCTCGATGAGCTTCCACCCACATCCCAAATTTCATCAAGACTGCCTATTTCCACCTCAGTAACAACGCCCTCATCTGACCTAGTCTCAGCTGATTGCTGCTGAAGCTCTCATTCCTTCTTTTGTTACCTCAAGATTAACTATCCAACAGACTCCCAGCCAGCCTCCCACATTAAACCTTCCTGTAACCTCAAGGCCATCCAGAGCTCTACTGTCCACATACTGACTCACACCAATCACCCTGTGCTCACTGACCCACAAAGGCTCCATCTTAAGAATCAGTGAAATATTTAAATTCTCATCCCTAATTTTCAAACTCCTACCCATCTCTAATCTCCTCAACACCCATATCTTTGTTTCTCTTTTTCTGTCCTCCTGAATATTACAGATTTTAACTGCTCCAACGTTGGTGGCTATATCTTTGGTTGCTGAGGCCAACAGCTCTGGAATTTGTTTTGATACAGTGTGGAACTGGAGGAACACAGCAGTTCCTCCAGCTCCACACCATATCGACTCTGACTCCAGCATCTGCAGTTCTTGCTATCTCCCTAAAACACTCTGCCTCTTAACCTCTTTGAAACCCCTGTCTTTGTCTCACCTTTTTGCCTGGCCCCAATATCTCCATTTATGGCACTGTGTCAAACGTTGCTCTATAATATTTCTGTGAAACACCTTGGAATATTCTATTCTATGGATGCTGCGATTAAAGAACAAATTGTTGTTGTTAACAACTCAGACAGGTCGTTGCTTCATCATCGCTGGGTGATGAACTTGTAACTCTATCTAACAGCACAATGGCAATATCTTCATACAGGCCCAACAGTTCAAGAAAGTCATAAATGTTACCTCTTCCACAGACCACTGTGGATTGGCAATTTCTGCAGGTATCTTTTGAATTTCATAGAATCAGAACCGCATTTGGTCTATCAGATCCGCACCAACCTTCCTACACTAGCCTTTTAACCCTGCATTGCCCATGGCTAATCCACCTAGCCTGCACATCCCTGGACACTACGGGCAATTATCTTGGCCAATCCACTTAACCTATACATCTTTGGACTGTGGGAGGAAACCAAGCAGGCTTGGGTAGAACGCGCAAACTCCACACCGACAGTCATGCAAGGGTGGAATTGAACCTGGGCCCCCGAGTCTGTGAGGCAGCAGTACTAACCACTGAGCCAACATGCAACTGTCATCTGTGAAACAATTTCATGATGTGCAGAATTATTCGGAATAAAAAAAAATGAAGAATGTGGCTAATATGGGCTTAGAAGTGAAAGAGGAACAGGGTCTAGTGCAGAAAAACAAATCCTGACTGTGAAAGATTCTGTGGGAAGATAAAGCTAGTTACTCAACAATGACGTTCAGTGGTTGGCTGGCATTGGAAAGTCTTTTGGGCACAGTTGGGCAAATAGCTAAATACGGGCCTGACTAAAACTATTATTGACAGGGAAAGTTAAGACAATGGCAGATAGATGATCAAGGAGGGCAGAAATGAAACAATGCAATGGATGGCCATGTATTAGATCAACAGTAAAGGAGCCACATCAGCAGCCGAACCATGGAAACACTTATAACAGCAAGATTGTCTCAACAGTACAGAATTTAAACATCATCCCTTGATATTCAATGTTAGCATTGAATTCTCACTCTCAACTTGCTGGGGGTTACCATTGACCAGAGATGGATAAGCCCTAGAAGTGGGTAGAGGAGCAGGTCAGACGTTAGAAATCCTGCAGTGAAAACCTCACCGACTCCCTAAAGTCTGTCCACATCTGCAAGGCACAAGCCAGAGGTGTAATGGAATACTCCCCACTTGCCTGGAAGAGTGCAGCTCCAACAACCCTCAAAAAGCTTGACATTATGCAGAACAAGGCAGCATGCTTAATTGGCATCACATCCACAAACTCCATTGCCACTGCTCAGGAGCGACAGTGTGTATCATCTGCAAGAAACACTGCAAAAATTCACCAAGACTTCTGAGACAGCACCTCTCAAATGCATCCTTGGGTCCTGATAGACCCTAGGTTGGAGCCTTCAAGCACACCATTTTCCAAATTCACAACCACTTCCATCTCGAAAGTCAAAGGCAGCAGACACATGGGAACATAAACACCCAAAAATTTACCTCCAAGACGCTCACCGTCCCAACTTGGAAAAATACCAATGTTCCTTCAGCATTACGGAGTCAAAACCTGGGAAAAGCCTCCTGAATGGCATTGTAGGTCTACTTACAGTGCACACACACTGCAGCAGTTCAAGAAGGCAGCTCCCAACCACCAAGGGCAACTATGGATGGGTAATAAATGCTAGGCCAGGCAGAAACATATAGATGGCCCTAATAGAGAAGGGGCAAAACGTGACATCCTCTTGGGAAATAATGCACCCAAGTGACTCCAGCGTAAGCAAAGTACTTTTGGACCAGTGACCGTAATTCCATTAGTTTTAAGCAGTTTAAAAGCTGTAAGCAGGACTTACACAGTTAATGGTAGGGCCCTGGGAAATGTTGTCAGAGACATAGGAGTGCAGGTATATAGTTCCTTCAAAGTGGCATCACAGATGGGGTGGTGGTGGTGGTGGTGGTGGTGTTTGGCACACTTGACGTCATCTGCCAGAGCATTCAGTACGTGAGTTAGGACATCATGTTACAGTAATACAAGACATTGTTAAGGCCACGTTTTGAATACTGCGTACAATTCTGGTCACCCTGACATAGAAAGGATGTTATTAAACTGGAAAGGGTGCAAAAAAGATTTATAGGGATATTACCAAGAGTGGAAGATTTGAAATATAAGGAGAGGCTGGATAGACTGCGACTTTTTTTCCTTGGAGCGTAAGAGGCTGAGGGGCGACCTACAGAAGTTTATAAAATCATGTCGGGCATACATAAGGTGAATAGCCAAGGTCTTTTCCCCAGCGGAGGACAGTCTATAAGTATAAGGTGAGAGGCGGAAAAAGTTTGAAAAAGGAACAGAGGGACAACCTTTTCTCACCAAGGGTGGTCCATGTATGGAACAAGCTGCCAGAGGAAGTGGAAGAGGTGGATGCAATTACAACATTTGGACAGGTACGTGGATAGGAAAGGTTTTAAGGGACGTGGGCCGACTAGATCAGTTTAGGATACCTGGTCGGCATAGACAAGTTGGGCCAAAGGTTCTGTTTCCGTACTGTGTGCCTATACGACACCCACATCCTATGAGTGACGGGAGACAATCAGATAAACATTATGGTGCAGAAGGTTGTTCTCCAGCTGACTATGGCTGCTCTGAATTTTTGACAAAAATAATCACTCATCTTCCATCTAAGGCCAGTCAGAAAAATTTCAGTTGAAGGAATCCCCTAAGAGCATAACAACACACAAGGGAACACGGGGCACCTGTGTCTTTGCACACCAGTGATCAACATGCATTATGAAAGATGGGAGGATCTGAGGGAGGATGCAGAGGAGATTTACTGGACTAGTTCAAGGGATGAGGAACTTTAGTTGCAAGGTTGAGGAGATTTTCATTTTTCGTTCATAGTATGGAGCCATCACTGGCTGAACGAACATTTAATGCTCATCCATAATTTCCTTCTCAAACTGCTGCATTCTTTGGTTGGTAGGTACATCCATTGTGCAAGCAGTGAATTCCAGGATTTTGGCTGTGACAGTGAAGGAATGGCTGTGATACAGGTAAGAGTCAAGACTGTGCGTGACTTGGAGGGAAACCTGCAGATGATGATTCTCTCACGCCTTTGTTGTTCTCAGTAGTAGAAGTCATAGGTTTGGAGCTGGGGCAAGTTACTGCAGTGCATCTTGTGGATGGTACACCCTACTGCCACTGTGCATCAGTGGATGCCAGATGAAAAGAAAAATTCAAACAAACTGCTCGACCCTGGATGGTATCAGTTTTCTAAAACCCTATGTTGAGACCTGCACCCATTCAGTTAAATGGAGAGTACCTCATCACACGTCTGAACTGTGCTTTGTAAATGCTGTGCAGGCACTGGGGAATCAGAAGGTTGGAGAAAAGGATTTTCTCCTTGCAGCAAAGGATATTGAGGGGAGATTTGATAGAAGTGCTGCTAAAAGTGTTAAATAAGGTAGAAAGAAGTTTTCCCATTAGCTGATGGTAAAAGGATTATGGGACAGATTATTGGAGGAGATTCAAAGAAGAAATTTTATGCAGTGAGTGGTAATTACCTGGAACCGGACATTTAGAGCAAAAAGCTTCCAATACTGCAGTGCTGATGATTAGTTGATTTGGTCGCGTGATGCTTGATTCAAGATTCCTGTTTGCAAATCCTTTTGTAACATCCTGTAAGTGTAGCATAAAAAAAAAATCTCCTTCAGTCAGTCCAGGATAGAAAAATCAGAAGTGCTAAATATTTCTCTTGGTTTGATAAAACAAGAGCTGTGGATGGAGGAGATCTAAAACAAGCAAAAACAGAAATTTCTGGAAGAAACTCAGCAGGTACAGCAGGATGTTTTCTCTCCACAGATGCTGCCATACCTGCTGAGTTTCTACAGAAATTTCTGTTTTTGTGTGCCTCTTGGTTTGAGTTTGCTGTTTGTAATTTCTCCCAGTCTAATTGCTTGTCAAAGGAGTTTCCAAAATCCATCACTGTCACTCCAGGATAGAAATTAACAATATTCCCTCCGCCTGACCAGTATTACCATACATGCTCATCCAACTCTGTACTATTCCCACTTTCTCCCCATTTCCTTTAGCCCCTTTTCTGTGACAGAATTCCACAGGATCAGCACACACTGTGCGAAGAAACTTCTCATCTCAATCTTAGGTGCCCTACCAGTATGCTTAGACTGTGACTCCTGGGTTTGCAAGGTCCATGCAACTTGACAAAATTGTTACAGTGCAGAAAATGGCCATTTGGTCAATCATGTCCACACCCCTTTTATTTCCTAGTGACAATCTCCCACCTTTTCCATTCAAACAATCATCAATGCCCTCTTGAATACTTCAATTGAACCTGCCTTCACACATTTCCAGGCAATGCATTCCAAAACCTAACAAGTACTTCACACCTCCCTTGCATCTTTTGCACATCACATTTATTTTTCTTTAACGAACAGGCAAAAGGCTGTTCCCATCGCCTGTTCATGATTCTGAAAAATTCAAGTCTCTTCTTAGTCCCCCTTCTTTCCAGAGAGAACAGGTCCAACTTCTTCAATTTATCCTCACAACCGAAGTATCTCATTTCTGGGACCATCCTTGCAAATCATTTCTACACCCAATACACAAGATTCACAGTTTCCTGGGCAGCAATCTTCTCCGAGTCATTCCAAATAATATCTTTAACATAGCAGATATGAGTGTGCATGAAAGATGCACCATCCCTCCTTCCCATCTTCCACCTCCCTCTTTGCACCCCCACCCCAACCTCTGTCTACCCTACCCGCCCCACCTTCCCCTTTCCCCCCCCCCCCCCCCCCCACCCCCCCCCCCTCTCCCTACCTCCCCC